GGAACGGAAGAAAACGGGATTACGCGTACAAAGTCGCGGGCAGAAGCTAGTAAAAAATTACCCTTATGTTTATATGGGTACTTTTTGATATATGAAACAATAAGGCAATAAAAGTGATTTTGTATATAAAAAGGTTTTTAACTGTTACGTTTTGAGACTACAAATAATCGCAATAATATAAGTGCTTGTACTCTTTACATTGCGCTCGGACATACTGCGTGGTAGATCATGGAACATGTCTTACTAACTCAATCACAATATTAATGACAAATCAGGTATTTAATTTGTACTTTTCAATAATTAGGAAAACAAAAAGGAAATCTGTAATAATTGATTCATTCACACCTGGGTTGACCAATGAGCGATGTCCGCTGACAAAAGGAAGTAAGTGCCTAAGTGGATGCCAATTACAACGGAATATCACAATAATGCTTATAGTTTTCTTCCATACTCATAATATTACGCACCAATTTGCATATCCAATGTGTTTATAATTTGCAGTTCAATAAACACTAATTTTGTAAACAGGGTGTGCACTGCGCAAACGGCTAATTGTAATTATAGATATTCTTTTTAAAAACCAAATCTTCAATCCCCTCTTTTTTTAAGTCGATTAATAAATATACTAAAACCTTCTCCAAAGCGTAACAGACATTTTTCTGAAAAACACATCAAAATCTGAAAACGGTTAATTAATAGATATACTAAAACCTTCACTCTAAATGTAACAAACATTTTTCTGAAAAATACATCAAAATCGGTTCGACAAATCGCGAGATAATCGCGCACAAACATACGTACATACAGATTAAAATGAGATCCTCCTTTTTTGGAGTCGATCAAAAAATTATACACTGAGAACATTTCAAGCCGTGAACAGCAAAATATAACACATTTGTCACCAACCTTACTATTTCCGCAGCTCACCGCAGATGTCGTTAGAATCGACTAAGGGACTAAGGGGCATTTAACAGAGACCAGGCAGCAGCTCTCTTTGCTTAATCTGACCTTTTTAAAAGCGTGTCAACTGTTCCAAGTGAAGATCTTACTATGAAAAATCATCTTCAGAGTTCTCTACTTGACCCTAAGTCCATTAAAGTCCTAGGTACAGACTCTAATTAATTATGATCTTTAGTCGTAGGTGATTTAGGTATGCAATAGGCCTACGCGTTACTTTGTTTATACCACTCTCTATCTATCACATTGTAACATGCAAATGCTTAAGTATGTATAAGCATCTTTTAGAACTAGCTGTTGCCCGCGATTTCGTCCGCGTTGAATAAGTTTTAGGATATAACGTTTTGTTTGTTTCAATTTTCCTTGCCTTTGTTACTTCTTAGTACATCAGCTACCTGCCAAGTAAAAGTCCCGTCAAAACCTGTCCAGCCATTTTAAAGATTAGCCAGTATAAACAGACAGACAGACAAAAAAATTTAAAATGTTATTTTGGTATAGGTGTCGTATGTGTATTCATAATTCGTATGCATGTATTAAAAAGCGGTTATTTCAATATTACAAACAGACACTCAAATTTTATTTATCTGTATAGATGTCTTAGTACCTACGTCTACTAATTATAATAGTAAGGTAGGGAATAAACGATTAGGCATCGTTCCATGAAGTGGGCGAAAGACAAAAACTGAAACGTCAACTGTCAATCATACTTTTTTTCATACTACCCAATAATAGAGATAGAAATAGGTACCTACTGGGATATTTTAAACATGAAAAACCTTTGTAACTACGAAGTAAAGTCTCCAATGAACAACATTGATGCTTCAAAGTTAGGTATTCTGAGTTTTTTTATGGTATAGGTTGGTAAACGAGCAGACGGATTACCTGATGGTAAGCAATCTGCGTCGCCCATGCACACCTAGAACACCAGAGACGAAACAAGTGCGTTACCGGCATTTTGGGTAATTGGGCCTCCGGTAACCTCAATCGTACGACGAAATACAACGCAAGCGTTGTTTCACATCGGTTTTCTGCTCGGCCGTGGTATCACTCCGGTCTAGCCGACCCATTCGTGCCGAAACATGGCTCTCCTACACTTAAACATGGCTCTCCCACACTTGAAAAATAAAAAGTGTAAAATTTGCTACTATTTTTTTCCGTCCTTAATGTTGATTAAAATATTTTTGAAATGGAGAAAGAAGAAAACTAAGAGTAGAATCAATAACATAACTGTTAGAAATAAACCTTTAAGAAAATATCTTATTCCTTTTTAAAAGGCCGGCAACGCACCTGTTTCTTCTTTGGTGTTGCGGGTGTCCATAGGCGGCGTTGATCACTAACCATCAGGTGATCCGTCTGCTCGTTTCCCTCCTATGCCATAAAAAAATATCATATCGATATTACGTTGGGAAGAATCCCAGAAAATCGATAAATATGGTCCCCGCAACCTTTTAGCCGAGTTCTCACGCCGCTGTTACTGTTAACCTAACTGCCTGTAAGCGGTGCACTCATAATACTTAAAAATTAAAAGTTATTGTATTTATGAATCGTGTGAGAATGTTTAATTAAATAAGTGGAATAAACGGAACTAACTACTTATTAGAGCTAATGAAAGTGACGACACACTAGTAAACATTGTGGAAACAACGACTAATGATATTATACTAATCCTCTAAGTTCTCAAGCCGATTAGGCAATAGGTACGTAGGAGTTACTTAAAAACACATAACAGTTTTACTTACAATGGGACAATTACCTTCTAAATAAAACACTTCCTTCCTTTATTTACCATTTGCCTTTCTTTTTAATTGACAACTTTATAATTATATTAAAAGTTACGTTGGATTGCCTACCCAGTAGGTACGAGCAACTAGATGTCCTTTGCAAAAACCGTTAACATCTATTCGAATATTAACTGCAGAAACAAATGACCATCAACGCAAAATTTTCTTTACAAAACTAATTACCCAAGGATCGGTAACACAAACAATGATTAGTTCCACATTATGTCGTATCCTGGGACTCATCGAGAATTAGTTGCGCGATCTGTTAGGAGCACGCCCAGGGCAGCGTCATGTGTTACAACTCCGATCGGCGATCATTAATGAGTAACAGCAAAAAATATGTTCGTCTACACAATACAGGCGCATGACTCGCCGCTCCGCGATCAATTATTAATAAAAAGCGGGCCGCTTCATTGAAAGGGCGATTAGCTCAATATTTATATGGAATATTCGGTATCAACGGCGCTTTGTGGCCATAATTCGGTGGGTCGTGACGCGGCGCGTTTGACTCTCCCGCCCACCATAGACCAACTGTTTCGGGTGAGCCGTAGACTTGATACTGCGTTAATTAGGGAAATATAGCATGCACAAACATTAATCAAAAATAAAAAGATCATTAGCAAATGGAAGGAATCTCATTTTTAACCCAAACAAGCAAAATATAAGTAGAATGCTTCTGCTATGAGCTGCTGATTCTGCTACTAAGCTGTCAAGAAAAATAAAAATTATTACAAAATACACTTACACGAATAGAAAATGCACCAATTGTCATAACATACGTGAACCTCAGTGAGTTTCACAGCACGCAGGCAACATCTAGCAAGTCAGAAGTTACCTTCAGCTGAGCGGTACGTCCCGGGCCACCACGCTCGCTTCATTGTACTACCGAATTGACTCGCCGACTCTTTCAATAGAATTCTTCGCCGTGAAAGCAGCCACTATGTCGGCATAAATTTATTTAATCTGATACATTTGCCCGAACATCAATCATACACTCGACACTAGCGAATTATTAGATCATATTTAGATGTGTTGATTTCATATTCAACGCGCTTTGGAGTAAATTAGAGTGGGTAGTGGCAATTATAGTAATGTTGGTGCCTAGATTATTATAATGTAGGTAGCCTAGATATACGATTCTTCAATCAATTCAAAACAATGTCGTGTCTACAAAGTTCAATCTCCAATATTCCGACAACATATTATTGCGTGTTAAATGAACTGTACAGAACGCTAAACTAAAGGTCTAATACCAATTAATTACTTGTATAATTCATTTGGCATTACTGACTCGCATAGCAACCAATGGCTGCCAGAACAATTTTTCAGTAGAGCTGATGCTAATGAAAAGGCATTTTCACGAGCTTTGGCGCCGGCCGCCATGCAAATGTGCTGTTTAATGACGCGCGAAGCCACGCCACACAACTATACTAACTTTACGGACACAAAACGTTACATTACACACAGTTTATTGTGAAAACTCGACTCGAGTTGTAAACGTTAATATCTACGCTACGACTTTACCGATATCTGCACAACACAACCAATGAGACTTATGAATACATCTTGACCCCACACTGACACGTATTGACAGTCGTTATTTATGGTGAGAAACACGGAATAACATATTACAAACAGAAAATAAAGTTTAGACACAAAACACTAGCCGTGGAAACTTACGTCCAATACATTCCCCACCAGCGGCGTCTATTCACTAATTTTAACTAAATGTTTTATGACTCGAGCTTCGCTAAAAGACTTAATTCTCTCAAGATAAATGTGTCACAATTGAGTCATTCGACCCGCCTTTAAAATGAAAAGCCCTTCAACCTTGAAAAGGCCAGAGAATGCGGCATGAAAGAGGCTCACAATACTCTTTTAATTTGTCATTATGCAGCAATAAAAACATGGTAAATGAGAGCGACAAAAAACTCGTTCAGAGACAAACAAAAACCGCGAGTTGGGGCGAAATTCGCAAATCATTCTGCGATAATGACGGCCGCTTGAAAAAAATTTAAATATCAAAAGGCCGGACGGGGCACGGTAATGGTTTAAAATCATTTTTCATTCGAGTCACTCGTGAGTCAGAAATATGAAAACGGTAGCCATCGCATCGGGCGGCGGGCGCGCTTCCATTAACTCTAGCCGACTTGCGATTAGAATTTTGGACGAGCTCCATCTTTCATTAATCTGTTACCTTCTTCGGAATAAATAAAACAAAAATGTTGATCAATTACGGTGTTGGAATGAAACTACATAAGTACCTGCGTCGTTAATGGTTTTTATTTACAAAGGTCCTTTTTAATATTAAATCGCATGACTTATGTTATTTAAATGTCATTTGTTCTTCTTTTTCTTGTGCTTGGGTTGCGATTGGTCGACGGGTGGCAGGCCGCTGTCGAATTCGCTGGCTGTATGCATTGAGCTCTGCTTCGGTATGTTACGATTGCCGGAGCCGAACTTAGCTTTTGGGAATCTGTGAACGACGCATTATTCATTGTAATGAAGTGATTCAAACTTATCAACATAGTCAATTAACGTTCTCTAATTCACTGCAAATAATTTGATGATTCTTAAAATCGTCAAAGATGCGAAAAAAACATTTTATCAAAACAAATCATGCTGTGTCTTACCCTGGCCGTTTCTTCTCTTCGTCCGCATGTACAGTGAGTCTATTGGAAGGCCTGTCCTTCTTATTGCTAGGGTTGGACTTGACCCTGCGAGCTAGCGTGCCTGGGGCGTCCCGGAGAGCGAATGCTTTGGCCGCGTGACCCAAGTGCAGTTGTTTTGAGTCCAAGTATTCGCGCACATCACGTGGGTACCCCGCGTAGAATCGGACCCATGATGTATATGCTAAAGTGGAGAATTATTTCTTTAATGTTTTGTAGATATAAACAATGTGCTTGTAGTAAGGTACTTTATAAGTTTATGTTCAATACTTAATATCAAGGGTTTAAGCAAGTCTTCACTAGTCAGAAATTTTCCGTCGATAATTATGTATAACCACAATCTCAATGTGATATTTAGCTAACGTAAGTTAATTAGAAATACATAAAACTTTCACAATAACAATACTAAGTTGAAAAATAAACTTTTATTCTAACTTAAACTCCTTTATAAGGACTACCTTATTTAAAAAATTACAATAAAATAATAGTAGAAATAGAGATAGAACGACAAAGTACACTACAACTAACAAAATACTACTACAAAAATATAAAAAAAAAATACCTCTGCTGGCTCTGAGCAGCCAGTCTCTATTTGTATGAGCGGTGTGTTCCAGGCGTGCTTGCACTGCAATGGCGGCGCGCTGAGCAGTGGTGGCTCCCGGTACTACGGTACGCAGCGCTTCTAAAGCTCGGGACTCGTCGCCTTGACGTAACCTAAGATATGATAGATCATATAGGAGAAAGTTTTCGACAGCCCAACAAATATTGTTTAGAGTTAGGCAAACAAAGCAATGGCAATCTAGGTAGGAATTGATATTAACACGTTAAACGCCATGGGGGTCACCGGTGACCGGCGTTAGCGGAGGATTTACCTTTAACAGTTTTTTATTGGTAGTCAAAGTCTTAAAGAGTTTACAGTGACAGTTTTAGTAACCTTCTGTGCAATTGAGTGGTAATCCATCCCAACCCTATCTCTAAAAGAACAGAAATAAAAAATATTCTGATGCGTAGAGGACATTTTCGGATAACATCTCACCTTATCTCTTCTCCTCCAAATGCCTGATGAACTTCGCTTCGCTAGGTAATAGGAACAATACAGCAGCACCGACTTGAGCTGCACGTCCAGTACGACCCACTCTGTACGAAAGAAAAACTTGAATAACGAACACCATTATCGTCGCCAGTTATAATACGGTAAAGAAAGGGAACTCCTTTTATCATCAAATGACTCCTCCTTCCATCTCCTGCTTCGAGCCTGGCCGCGGTATGTCATTGCGCTTGACCGCAACCCGGCCGAAAACAAAAGGAGTTTGCCATCGCCAAAAGTCTTTTTTCTAGTTGCCTTTTCGCAAATTGACACTGAATCTTAACCATCTTTTTGCGTCTTCAAGTTTAAATTACGTAAATCATTTAATCCAATTAAATAATTACGAATAATAAGCAGTGCACAATTAGTGATCACCGCTAATTGCATCCCCGACTATCTGCATTTATTAGCAGTCAAACGATGACGAATTTAATTTCAATGGTCTTAGGTTTTACTTTTTCGCGAGTGAATAAAGGAGTTGTGGCGCTAAAAAAGGGACATTATAATAACACATAGTTATAAAATAAATAAATTAAATATATAAGGACAAGATTTACATTTGTAGTATGTATGTAATCAAAAGATGTACCTGTGAACATAATCGGTGGCGGAAGCTGGAACACAGAACTGCAACACGAGATCCACTCGAGGCACATCAATTCCTCGGGCAGCAACATCCTAGTGGATCAACGATGACAATACGATGACGTTATGGACTTCGAAAACATATAGGTACGTAAATTAATACAAATATTCCTCAACAGATTAGAGTGACATCGAGTGTACCCTTTTTTAACCCCTTGAAAGTAAAATATAAGCATTAAGGTCAAGAGCTAGAAGAGGACTACAACCACAAGATATTTCTAATGTCTTAAAGTCGGAAGTAGATCACTATAAGATCTAGTACACGATAAGCCATGTACAAAAAAGTTTAATGTAAAAAGTTTAGCGAAACTGAACGTTACACGAATACAGGAGCGTCGCAGCGCGTAAGCGAGTGAGCGCCGCCTCGGTAGCCACCGCCCGCTGCGACCAAGATTAAACCCGATACGATCTCGCCTTCGCACCGTCATTATCTACACTATGGAGGACATTACACCGCGACTATTGCTGTATTAATGCAATTAAAAACACACTACCACATACAATGTATTCGTCTCGGCTAATTACGCGATTAGAAAATTATTTTACGCTTCACCTACAACTCCGACCTACCGTGGAAAATATTAAAACGATAATCAAGAACTTTTTCAACAACCTCCGAGAAGACCTTTTCGAACATGTATTCGATTACTAATTACAAAGTTTAAATAGTTGCATTATGAAGACGTTTAGTTTTTCTTGCGTCATTAGTAGAGTATTAGTTCTTATGGTTAATATTCAGCAAAAACTCGAAAAGGGTACGGAACGTTACAAAAAGTTAATGTTGATTCAAAACCCATGATTACCACAATTAAGTTTTTAATTTCTAACATAGACCGAATATTAAATTGAGGACCTTGTCCTAGTGTCCTTTGGGACGGTAGATGAACAACTTTGTACAATGAAATTGTAATTAGAATCTCCGGCGTAACAGTAAGGTTCCGATGTCGGCGATGATAGATGTAATAAACACATATAATTGTACATAATCGAGGCGTATTGTGGCGGCGCGCGGCGGTGTGGGAGCGCACAGAGAGCTAGATGAATGACCAGCTAATAGGCACCGCGCCACAATAGCTAGCGACAAAGGTGAGCGGCGGGAACATGGACGCCATTATTAAACTAAGAATGTGATGATTAATCTGGTAGCACGTTTTCGAAGATAATAAATTGAATTTCTATTGTGCGCGTAAACACGATTAAAAAATATTCAAGAGATACGATTTTATTTGATTCGAATTACATGTGCGCGGTAATAACACAAGACAATGATTGACTCGCGTTGAAGGCGCGTACCCTTTAAAATAGGTAATTATGAATTAGATCTACTGATTATATTATAAATTCGCTAGATATATTTATCTCATTGTCGGTAAAACCGAAAAGAAGTTCCGTTTTTCTATGTGATCTAATTTGCTACCCATATAGTCTTAGTAACACTTGTAAAAATCAGCAATAGTTCGAATTGCAAATATTGTTTCTATGACTTACCGTACAAATTAGTACTCCGCTCCGTGCAGTTCGGAACTGCTTGAACACCTCCATCCTCTGCTCGTGAGGCATAGATCCGTGAAGGCTAAACATATCCAAGTCGACTGGCACCAACCCACCTTCCGTTGGTTCTTCATATTCCACTTTGAAGTCATCTTCATCTTCCGATGATGATGAGTCTTTGTCCTAAGCGAAAGATAATACACGAATCATAGCATCTTCAAGGCTAATCAAAAAACACAATAATGTTTTGTCCAATCCGTAGTGTGAATTCTAGATTTCGGTTCCCCATTCCCCCTTGCAAACACTCAAAACGGTTATGATAACGATCTAAAACAAAGCCACGTCTATTGTTCTATAAAGACGCAAAATCCCATCTGTACGTATCGTCGTAATAAACCCACTTTGCGCCTATTAGGTATGGGAAAAACACATAAACCACCATTACATGTCCAAATTAAAAAACCTATTGAACTTGGCTACGAAAGAACTCTCGTCCATTCTATGACGTAATGTTTTAAAATTGTAAATAATATAATATAGCTAACAATATACTTAATAACAATTCGTTTACTTACATCATCACCATCTTCATCATCAGCTTTTCTTTTCTTCGCTTTAGAATTTTTAGCTTTCTCTTGATTCTTCTTTTTGACTTCTTTGCCAGTGAGCGCCGTATCTATAAGGTCTGAGAGATAGTCGACCATTTCAAGTGTGGCTACGAACACTATCATTTTACCTCCTTTCTTGTTCATTATGCAATGTTCTACAATGAGACCGCACAAGGTAACAAGTCTGAGTTTCATTGGAACTATAAGGAACGTTTGGTTCACTGTTGCTGGTAATACCAATTCATCCTCAACTATTGCAGATTTGACTGCTGCAGCGAAAGTATTTACTTGTGGAGCAGCTTTTTCTTCATTTCCTTCTTCATCATCCTCATCATCATCACTATCGTCCTCACTTTCTTTTTCTTTCACAACTTTGGGGTTTTTAAGATCATATTCCCTTTGTGCTTTGAAATATTCATAATCAGAGTCGCTGTCACTATCATCCTCGTTTTGTACGACATTAGCTTTTGGAGCCGTACTGGGTGCAGCAGCATCATCTTTTTTAAATAAATCTTTGTGGTTTTGACCAGTAAATGCTTTTAGACCTATAGCAAAATTAACAGTTTAATACACATACACGATACAAAAACAATTAATTGTGGAAAGAACTTACCTCTTTTAGTTTCTGTACTCTTTTCTTCATCTGGCAAAGCCGTTTCAACATCAGAATCTTCTTTTTTAACTTTTTCTACCTTCGATTTTTGTGGTTTTATTTTTCAGGTGCAACATCTATTTCTGGTTTTTTCTTTACTTCGGTTTTTTGCTCACTAGGTGCAGGCTGATTTGATTTTAAAGAATCGGCTATAACAGCTTTACCTTCTGACGTATCTACAAAACTGGATCGACTAGCGTGATGCCTGCTAAATTTTCAACGGCCTACAAAACATATATATTAGACAGTTCATATTTTATACATATTTTTGAAAGAAAAGTTTGACCAGAATTTTACCTTAGTAAGAGTAGCAGATAATAAAACAGTTTGTTTTTCTTTAGACATAAACACTTCAGTTAAATGATGTTTCACACCATCTTTTTCTTCATGACTTTCATTGTGTGCAGATTCTTCATTACTGTCGTCGTTTTCTGGTATTTTCTTCACAATATTTTGTTTCATTAAAGCTAAAGGATCGTATGTGGCTGCTTTTTTATGATCCTCAATAGCTTTAACGATAGCTGCGACATCTTTCTCGTAACCCATGTCTAATAAACGATCTGCTTCATCCAACACTAAACAGCTGTAAATATCCATACCATGTGTAAAGTCGAAGTAATAGAAAATTAAAGAGACATTAGCACAAAACCTATCATGTCTTTCCGTCGTTCAACATCGTCTTAGAGTCAATTCACAGCGAGATTCGATGCGATAACACTAGAAGTGGCCAGTAATTTCGCGTAGCACAGCACGTCGCCGCGAGACCTTTGCATGAAATGTGTATTGTTCGTGTAGAAAATAAAGCTTCATTTTGAACCGTCTTTTTTAAGTGTGTCAGTGTGGTTGACCTATACATTGCAAAAAATCAACTTACCCAGTTTTAGCGAAGTTAAATGAGGCTGTATGTCTTAAATGGTCGTTGATACGTCCAGGTGTACCAACTAACACATTGATGCCTTTCCTCAGTCGCGCCTTCTCCGCCTTCCTCTTTTGTCCTCCACTCAACAGACCAGGCACAATCCAATGGAATGGCTAAAAAATATATTTTTATGCACTGCTTATAAAACCTCTATATTATAGTTATAGAGTCTATAACTAGTGGAGATACCGACTTAAATAGATTTTTCACTTTATGACAAAGTTATAAGGTTGAAATTCAATTCTTTGAATTAAGATAAAAATCTAGACCCAGAGTAAGTAGTACTTGATTAGTTGGAGTAATTCTTTTAAAGTATAATAAATAGACTATCCCTATAACATTTAAAGTCAAACTCAAAAGAAATCTCCTTTTTTGAAATCGGTAAAAATTAGATTCCCACCCAATATACTTATATCATTTAAAAAAACATTTATTATTTTGTAATAATCACTATTACACATTTATTATTAAATAAAAAGTACTATAAAATATGTCAATGTCCACAATACCTTGACTAGCTTTATAAACAGTTCATAAGTTGCACTGCAAGTTCCCTGGTAGGTACAACCACAATACTCTGATACCATCATTCCTATTTATCTTCGGTCTTATTGCTTGCAGACCTTCTATGATTGGTAGGGCATAAGCCAACGTCTTTCCTGAACCTGTCTGTGACCTAAGTAAATATTGAACAATATTGTACAATTATATAAAAGTTTTGTAATATTTATTCTAATAAATGTAGGTAATTATTTTAATCTATGTATTGGTCTTAATTAAAACAAAATAAAATAAAGTTGTCAGGCAGAAATTATTACTACTTGCTGATATTATGAGTACAGTAAGTATAGAAACTTTTTTTATACAAAAAACTAGCTACTGTGTTTATTGTCAATTTACCTAAAGATAAGCAAATATGAACATTTATACTATGGTAATCATAAAAAGAGATATGCATTGCCAGTGCATATTGCTATAAAATTACTTTGTATTGCGTAATTCAATAGCAATGAATAATTATGTATTGCACAATAATGAAAAAAGAACAAGAATATTTAATAAAGCAATTATATTTTTTATTTTATGAACTAAATGAAGACTTACCTAATAAGAACATCTCGTCCTTGTAAAATAACGGGTATTGCATTCTGTTGTACAGTCATAAGTTCTTTCAAACCTAGAGTTTGTTGCAAGTTAGCAACACTATGTGGATGTAAGTCTAGGTCAGAAAAGGTTTTGCCTGCAAACACCTTCTCCACAATCGGTTTGACAGCCCGCTGCCCAATACGAGGCACTTGAGGATTATTTTTGAACAACGAAGATATCCAACCACCACTCCGAGGCTTGTTCTGTTTCAACTGTATATTATCACTGAGTTCCTGGTAATTCTTGCCTTCATATTTGCCTTTATTCTCACTCAGGTCTCGTAGTTTTGCACCCAAATCATCAGATTTGTCCTCCTTCGGTGGTGCTACTTTAGCTACCTTCTTTGGAGGTCCTTCAGCATTTTTTAGTACAGCACGGTTTGCTTGAGCTAAGTTCTGAGGCCGTTTCCTAGCTATAGTCTTCCCAGTGAATTTTGGATTAGAAACAAATTTGTATTCTCCTGCATTGTTCTGTGGCGCACTTGGCTTCTTTTTATCCTACCAAAATACACGAATTAAGACAGAATCAAAACAATACATTTATATTTAGACCTATATCTGACACTTACCTTTTTAGGCACCGATATATTCAATTGTAAATCATCCATATTACACTATTTCACGAGTTATTTACGTTTCACAAACTATTAGTTTGAGGTTATAGCACGTTTTGACGTTTGGTTTGTTGTGATTATTTTGACAGCTCTAGCGCGCGTTCTGAAACTGAGCGGGGTTAGTGTAAGTACCAGTAAGGACTCTTTAGAAGAAAATTATTGTCATGGATTTCTCCAGATTCTGTAAAACTGTCTTGGTGGTAATTTAATTACATAATAATGTCCTTTCCTTACACTCGGTGCTCGTTAATGTTATAGGTACCAAGCACCGACAGTCTAATCACTCTAATCAGTCTATCAGACAATCAAAAGGTAATAAAATTGCGGGATAACTTAGAGATTCTATAGGTATTTATTTTCTCAAGGATCACCATACTCCCCAACAAACCATTAGAACCTATTGTAACTCAAAGTGTTTTGTAAGCAGTGTACTTATAAACACGTGTCCAAAACACAGTGATGATGCGAATTACGGAAAGATCACGTGGCGACGCGTGGCGCGAAAATAATCCCTTTGTGCATTCTATGGGGTGGAACAAATACTTATTTGAATTTTAATAAACATTATTTTTGTGAAAAGCCTTTAATTTAGCATAGTTTGATGATGTTGTTTGAATGTAGATAGGTAGATTAAATACAGAACAATAGTTAAAAACTTACCACAAATAAAACTTATTAATTACAATATAAAAATGTCTAGATAAAAACATAGACTAAACTGTTTCTTAATTTATTGTAAGTACCGTGGAATTGTAAAACTTTATTCAATGGTAAGTACATACATATGTAGGTATATGATCACTGCCTGCTTCCTTAGTTCGTCCGTTAAAAATATAAGATTTAAAAACCAAGGAGTTGAAAAAATGGCGGACATAGTCTGTTGAAACAGCGACTGTGGCACCTGACTTAGATATACACACACACGAATCCGAGACCCCTTGCCCGGCAGTCGCACTTGCGACCACTCGGCCAACGAGGCAGTCTACAACAGTAAAACAACAGATTATGTGGATAAACAGTCCTTACCTACATACATAGATATCTTAATAGATATAGGTACCTGAAATCTCTACCAACGCAAGTTAGCATAAACTCCATTGAAAGGAAGAACCGCTAAATCCATACACTTAAAATTCAAGAAACGCACGTTTCGGGCATACAGAGAAAATGGAGTAAGGGCCTGAGGGCTGAGGGCCAAAGGACGGTTGGAGGCGTGAGGGCGCGTCGTGATTACTGGCGCCCAACCGGGACGACCCCGCGTGCCCGCCGCTCTAATACCCTTCTCTTATTTAAAGCAAACACACTCGTGATTTCTGTATGCCTTACAATAGGTAAATGGGGGTTTTAAGTCAATAAGTTTTTTGTTTATTTGATTGGATGGTTTTTTCTAGATGAAGCAAATGGCTCTACGTTTCTCTTATTGTTTTTTTTTTCAATATATATATTTGTAGTGCCGACGTATGACCATATTGACCATCATCTCGCCCGATGATAAGCGATGATGTAGTCTACGTAGATTTATGTAGATACTATTATATATACGGCTCTTATAGATCAGTAGATCACGGTTTTAGGTTTTATGTTAAAGACTTTGAAGCTCGGATAGGCCAAAATGTCAAATACACTAAAAAGATTTTAATGCTATAAAATAGTAAACCAACCTCCATTTATATTCAAGTTGGCTTAGCTTTATTAAGAAAGAAACAATGAACACGACATTGTTGCATGGTTGTCATATAAAAGTGGCATAACATCAACTATTACTTGCACAATATTATTGTCATAACAAACATATATCTTAAAAACCTCAAAAAATAGGTTCAAAACATTTTAAATACAGCAAGAAAAATATAGTAAGTACCTACACCTTCTACCTTATACATATGTACGTGGTAATTGGCACAATGGTACCTACCTTGAATAGTGCAGTGCACAGAAGAATTTTTTTATACTTAAATCTCCCTCATGGAACCCATGCTAATAGTACCTAATTATTATTTATCCCTAAATAAGTAGTTACACTCTAAATAGTTAGTGTTTCTTATTTATTTAGGAAGAATAATATCGATAATTTGGAATTATCACTATCGATATTTTATTTTATAACACTAAGTAGGTAATCAATTATTTGTACCGCCGCCAAAAAAATTATTTCAATAAGCCTAGGCCTAGGAAAATTAATTATTTATTTTAATTATCTCAAGAACAAATAAGAATGGCTTTAAAACCGACCACGTGCAAGGAAGCTATAGCTCGTTGGGAGAAGACTAAAGGTGAAAATTCAACAGAAGCGAAAGTGATTGAGCTCCAATTCCAATGGCCTCCTATAGAAAAGATGGATGGCGCTCTATCCACACTTGTAAACTGCGAGTAAGTACTATTACAGGAAAAGTCTCTATATAATGTCGAAAATTGATATAACAACACCAATCTACATAATCGAGTTTTCGGTGCAAACAAAAAATAAATACAAAACGCGTGTATAGTACCTAGAGGTAGTTTCCTATTGATTTAATTTTATAAACTCCTCGAAGATCTTTACTTATTATCAACAGCGCCAACTACACTTCCATCAAGTAGATTAGCCTCATCATCACTATAATTCGGTGAAATATTTTTAGTTTAGTGAAAGTACTTACCTAACTAACCTAACAAATTCGAAATATTGACTTATTAATATCTACGCAAATGTTAAGATTATTGTCTTTTTCTAGAAAACTAAGCCTATCATCGAACATGATTGACAAAATAGCTGGCATTGCTGGCATGAGAAACCTGAAGATATTGTCTGTCGGGAGAAACTATATCAAATCTTTAGCAGGAGTGGTAAGTCTTATATTTAATTTATAATCATCAACGGTAAGATATTTACTGCTGAACAATGTTTAAGGGTTAAAGACCAGGGGCTTACTTTTGAATCCAATTCCTATCGATCGATATTAGTACCTATTGTGAAATTTTATACTCTTGAGTTGCAAACTAGTGCCTATTTCACGCAATACGGATGTATTGCGTGGATATTTAATAAACTAAATGGTATCGAGTTTGGCTTTATATTCCGTACTCTGAATGCTATTTTAACAGCTACGATACGGGTTATATAGTTGATTGAATAATTATTAAGATTTTATTGGATTACAATTGCATTGGCATTGAGATTGGTTTCAAGAGTAAGCACCTGGTCTGACCTATCCTGGGAATCGCAGTCAGGCTACCGAAAATTCATAAAACTCATTTATGAAAACGCTAACTACTTCGGCGCAGTTCCAGCGGCTCTGCTTGGCGCCTAGTTATCGTAGCGTAATGTATCATAGCCTTCCTCGATAAATAGACTATCCAACACAATAAGATTTTTTCAAATCGGATCAGCAGTTACTAAACGCTATCAAACAAACAAACAAACTCATCTGCTTTATATTATGTATAGGTATAAGATTAACTTACTCCTTAAAAAGTAATTGGCAAAATACTATTTAGCTGTGGTTTCGGAGGTATAATTTTAATTATCTGTACATAATGTAGTTTATATTTTCAAAACAATTTTGCTTGTTTTGTTGGTTGAAGGGTCTCAATCACAAGTGCGACCGTTGAGCAAGGATTCTCAGCTCAGATAAGATTCTTGGATTGAGTTTTTCTTTAATCGAAATTCGTAGCACGAAGTCGGGTAGCGGGCCTTGCATGGTGTATGGCAATAAGATCTCCTTTCATCATATATCAAAGGTTGCTAAGCTCTGTAACTCTCAATTTGAAAGATCAAAATGAACTTGATCACGTTCCTCCATGACATAATGAGAATAATCGACCAATGAGAGACTGTTACAGAGTAGCCTAGACTAGACTTACGATAAGTTATAGACACTTAACATCATAATATCAGGCCTTTTATCCCCGAAGAGGTAGGCAGGTGCACATAGAGGTCCCATTTAATAGAGGGTGAGCCTATTGCCATATACCGGGCACATTTCCAGACTCCGTGCTACTACTGAGAATTTTTAAAAACCCAGTAGGTAATACTTTGCCCACCCGGGAATCGAACCCGAGACCCCTTGCCCGGCAATCGCACTTGGCAACAAGACAGTCAGTTAGCAAGTTAGAGAGACTTTATTGTTAGACGGCTTTATGCTACACTGTATTGATTACAGGAAACCGTAGCAGAGTCATTAGAAGAACTATGGATAAGCTACAATCCCATAGATAAATTGAAAGGCGTCGGGGCGCTCAAAAATTTAAAAGTTCTATACATGTCTAACAATCTGATCAAGGAGTGGGTGGAGTTTAATAGACTGCAGGTTTGTGATGTTTCTATATTAGGTACGAACGTACATACTTCACCAAGCTAACATTATAAAGCTTCCAATACATTTGTGTAGTTATAATTATGCTTTTCTCTAGTTATGAGAACTTACCTAATACGTACTTTTAAATACCTAAGAGGTACGTAACATACCTAGTTGTACCAATAAATGGACCAATATTTCCAATTTTCTCAATTATTTCAATTGTCTACAGGATTGCGGTAACCTACGGGACTTGGTTTTTATTGGCAACCCTATAGTGAGAGCCAACCAGACGTGGAGACCTGGCGTACCCAGGCTTCTACTCGACTCCCACAAATAACCAAGCTGGATGGCATACCGATCATAAGGGAATAGACAATTATTCTATACTCTTTCTTAACATTCGTATTTATTTTGTGAACGCCAACATTTAATTTTAATCACCAGAAGTATATTAAAGCATTCTATTTAAGTGGCCATGAGTTTCAATTCAGTCGTTTAACAAAAATCAACTAGGTACTGTGTTCTGTGGTATTACCTAACAGTATTATATCTATTACAAAACTATTTCGGTCTTCTTTTCCAACATTCACAGTGCCTTTAAATTTAATTCACTGAATAAGAATTTTGATTGCGTGACACTTTCCGTAACAATGGGTGATAGAGGGCCACTTGTTTAGCTAAGAATTGAAATGACGATAATATTCGAAATAATAGCCACGTCGCATCGCCTCGCTTGCTTGACATTTATGACAGATTATGACTATGGCAACACTAATAACAGCTCCACACGCCATCTATCTATTAGTTGACGCAACTATAACATGACAGCGTTAAGATTGAATTCCATTAATCGAATAATGATTGCGATGGACAGATTGAAGATTACAGACTAATTCAACTAACACCGTGAAGCGATCAATTGACTCATACGTTGATGAACCCATGTTGATAAAATTTTATCACCATCATTTTAACTAACCATTCTAATAAACACCCTATAAACAATTACAGTTATTCATTAAAGAAGAGTATTAAGCTGTTCAAGCACTGGGCATGAACAGAGAGCTAAATATATTTTTATGTACCAATTGACTACTAACATTTCCCCCGGAAATCGATTGCTATAGAGAAAATTGCAAAATAACGCAAACGACTCCCCATTCTGGTACTAAAAAGTTGCTTATTTTATTGCAAATCGTCGAAATCTTCATGTGAATGCGTCGCCTTTGTCCGTACGACTCTATGATTCGTCATACGTCTCAAAGCCGACTTAATAGCCTGCTTAATTCGCGCCAAAAGGAAATACGAATTGGCCGGGAACGCCATTGCCGGCGGAAAAGTCCCTCTCTCCGTAGATGCGCGAATGGCCCCGCCATTGTGTTGCCACTAATAAAATTTAATGATGTAAACGGATAGCACGAATTTATCTAACTCAGAACGCGTGGGGAGCGGGGCACTGAGGGGAAATCAATTAACGACAATATATCAGCTGTAAAGCAAATTGAATTCGGTATTGTTATACGATACTGTTGGAGATTGATTCTAAGCTCTCTTTACTAATTTGTATTTTAGGGGCACACACAAAGTAGCTAGAGATTTGAGAACACTTTACCATACACTGTAATTTTATTTAAATTTTCACCATTGACACACCACCGGTTTAGTCGGGAAGGTACTCTTCATAACCACTTTATTGATAATTGTAAGTTTTAAGTAGGTACCTAACTACCGGACTAAGATTTGTTTGATTAAGCTACAGAGTTCTTTAATTTCAAACTTGCCTATGTAACTACCCTCATTCTTTATAGCTACGATATATCAATTAAATGTAGGTATATGCTTATGTAAACGTGGCTTATGTACTTAATCACAAGCAAGGTGAAGGTACCACGTAAGCGATATTTGAATAGCGCTCAATAATTTAATGGAAACCGGTCATTGTGTACTCAGCGTAATGGAGCGATAATTGTCCATCCAAACAGAAGTAACTCTGTTAATCAAAATGAAGCTCGCACCTTCCCTACGCATTATAAATGAAGTAAGCTCCCTCGTTAATGCGTACAAATGCTGCCGACCGCCACCTAGCCCGCCATTATTTAATTATTAACACTACAATCGACCTAATTTTGATTTCTATTTGACATTTCGATTACGCGGCACGTAGCCGCCGGCGAGCAGCCATTTTGTGACATCTGTCCTCGAGTGTGTTACGAACTATAAAATTCAATTTCCCCAATCGGCCAGCTCGACACATTTATTATTCATAGGTCGGTACCTAGATGCCCGGCCACTAACAGATGTGATCTTTTACGTGAAGGAATATCAAAAAACATGACTTCGATATAAAGAGCAGTGATTCTAACGGACATGAATTTAATATAAGATCATGTGAATCCAATTTATGGGAATATTCGGGCAGTATAAAAGAAAGTCCAAATACATTCACAAATAAGGTATTCAATCGCGTGACATCAGAGTTTTCCCGTATCGGGAAATGAGTTTTCATTTCAGTTATTGAAAATTTGACTCGGTATTGTTTCTGAAAAGCTATTAATATTGTAGGGATGGAGCTCGTAGTGTATTGGCAAGCAATCGACTTCAGGTCACGCTACTGATCGCATTTAATACTTGATTCGATTGATAGGCATGTTGTAATGACTATATCGTACCAGGTGCTTTTTGGTTTTTATTAAATGTTTATATAGAACTTCAATAAATCCTTTAATGTCATAGACAAATTGGTATCAATCGGGCTTATATTCTATTAGCCAATAAATCAATTCATGTCCTCGGTAATGCACAATCCATTTGCTCGCATGTAGCCTAATTGCCGTTAGCGCCGCCCAATGGTCCCTTTTGGTTAAAACGCTGGCCGACCGGCCCGCCCCCGGCCAGTCTTGTACGGTAAACTCGTGAAACTCCTATATATTCCACTATAATGGCTGATTTTCTAGCTCACGAGATGTATCCCCAGCAAACGGTCGCGCTTACGCCACTCAAAGGCGGAGAAAATGGCTTAAGTGCTTTCTCTATTATGCTTAAGGTCGTTCGTGAAAAGGATAATTTTCAACTCTCCAGCGCCCCCGTTTCGTGCGGATGTGGAATTAGTGTGGACGTGACCTTTATTTCCCTTGTTTTCAAATTTTATCAGTAGGGGCATTATAATATTAAGTTCATTATAAGTAAACTAACTCTTCTTTACTTAGTATATAACCATAGCACTTAGAAACTTATTAATACCTATCTAATTGTAGTTGGAGTTAATATTGGCAGAAGCATCATTTACAGGTAGGTAAAGAAGGTGAAGAAGAGGAAGTTGAAGATTAAGGAGTTGCATTATCCAAAAATATTACTTGAAGCAAGCATGTCTACACATTTCCAACGTAAAGTAAGATAATATATTTTTAAGTTGGGTAACCTATTGTCGCGGCAAGCGTCGAGGGTAGCAAAATAAAGCTTTTCCAACAAACAATAGTTCCGGTCCTTTGTCGCACTCGGAGTTGAGTAAACATTAGTAGTTGAGGGTATTGTGAGAGGTTTCCTCCGCCTCCGAACCTCCTTTAAGCCTCCGCCGCGCTCTGCCGACTCCAGGCTTAACAGTTTACGGCCAGATAACTCCCACTTACCCCTCATTACCTTTTGTTTCATAAGAATTGTTTGTTTTATTTAAGAATTTAGATCTACATAATTTATACTTAATAAGATAGCCTCGTTAATTTGTCGTAGCTAAGACCACGTAGATATCTGGTTTATCTAGTTCTTAAATGAACCTATCCACTCTATCCCCTAGGATAGGATCATATTTCTTACTATATAACCAATAAATAACTATTTATGTTTTATTCATTAAAAACGGCAATGAGTCAGCTTATAAACATTAAGTATTGTGCAAACAGTAGAAGTCACGATCTTACCATAAATTTATTTTTACATTAACACCTACTTTCCATAATAGCCGATAAACCAAATTTAGTTTTCATGTTACGCACCCTCTACTACTACTTATAATAAGCAATGATCAATGGAGAATAATCCTATTGTGTCGCGCGCACACAAAAAACCATGTCTGAATTATTCCGCCACGGTTTCGCGCTAATATCTCCATTACATTAGTGTAGTGTAGAACTTCATTGTTATCCGCACTATGCACTGATCTACATGAAAAAGATTACGCGCGAAAATGTTGACAGTTGTCGCATAGACAAAAGAAAAGTGAGTGCATTTCGATATACGCATAATGGTTTGTGTTTATTTAATTTAAGTCACTGGCAACATAGAATAATGGTGTGTTTTCGCCAGCGGCAGTGGCGCGCGGCGTTCCGACTTGAGCCGGGAGCGCCTCGGGGCAATAAAATTAATGAAGCGTGGAGATGGGACCATTTTACTTGTATTATTCGTCTCCTGCGGCCTGAGACTGGAGCGAATGTCCATTAGTTCTGTTTTAACATGTTAGCGAGGTTGAAACGTTGTAAATGCGATTTACTTTGCAGAGAGGGTGGAAAAGTAGCCGGAGAGATTTGATCACGATCAGTAGCCAAAGCGATCGGAAGTGATCTCAAATAGCTATTTGTTCGTAAACAAGACATCATAATTTATTTACAAGTAGCTTTTTAGTGGACTCTTGTTTTTCGTTTCTTGTTAGTAAGTACCTAAGGTAGAAAGAAATAAAATCTACTCATCATCTACCTAAGTACGCATATATATACGCAGTCACTACTTAGCAATATCAGAGTACATGTGGTAAATACTGCAAATAATACGGTAACGTGAACAAAGAGCGCATTACACCGCATTAGTTGTTAACTGATGATCAAACTGACTGATGGAAGACCGCGCGGCGGTTACGAGCGTCAAATTCCCGCGATATCATCTTAATCCGTCCTCAGCTAACGGCTCATTGTACGCATGTGTGAAGAGCATTTATCTTTAAACCTTTCAATAGAATAAATATGGTGAAATAAATACACCACGTCCACACTCTACTCGTATATCTACACTTTAGAATGGTCTTCTTTAGTTTCTTTTACTTTCATTTAATTTTGTCACAAGTCAATGGATTAGGCAATAAATGTAAGCAAAGAATCGAGCTTATTATCCTTTGATGCACAAAAATAATAAATAATTCTCACAAAATGAACACTTTAGTACCCACAGACGTCTCGACAAACACAAACATTTCGTTAACTGCACAAAATTACATAGAAGTCATTCCTTTACGAAAAGCTCTGGGCACACAAAGGGTGTATCGCAGGCGCTAAACCGTCGCACGCTCATTACGCGAACATTTGCTTGCTTGCTACCACTATTAGCATATCAAATGGCGTTATCTGATGTAAC